TCTAATTTTTAAGAGACTAAGTATCGAACCCATAAAGTGGCATATACGTCATCCACATGCTTACAATAGGAAATATTACCACGTTATAAGCAAATCTCATGAACCTCGATTCGCTAACCATTTCGTTAAATAAAATTATAATGGTCAATTGATTATCAGTAGTTTGAATCTTTATTGAACACAATGATTGAAAGCTCTTTCGCCGAAGAAAGGAGACAACGAAGTTAGTTACCTAACTCATAGGATATGGGTTTCCTGATACTTAGTGTCCGTACGATCACAATTGACATTTACATTAAAGATAGACTCTGTGGGCCAAATTTTTGTTAAAACCTTTAGGTAGGTAGATATATCCATGCTAAGCAATTATATGAACAATATTTGAGTAATAGTAAGGTGGGTAAAGAAAGGAGCTAAGATTTCCAAGAGAAACCCCTTTCCTAACTCTTTAAGTTCATAAATCAGTATAAATCCCCTACATCGACAAAATTTGCATTGAAAAGAATTGCGCACTTGAGTTTAATGCTTACGTATTCTAGGTACCTAGGTAATTATTTCACGGCTTCTTAAGAGCCATAAGTAAAGTTATTGCAATATGGGTGTTTAGCTACTCAAGCCTTTAAGGGGGGGCTTGTTCCCATGAAGTCGACAGCGAGGTCTCGAAAGCATAATAGATAACAATACGGGCTCATGGCAACGTACTGTTCGACCACGGTCGCTTCTTTGGTCGCTGAACTACAATATGGGTTATATCCATAGCAAGGAGAACATATTGTATAAAGTCGAAACACAGACTTCACAATCTTCACTCTTTCATTGAGATATTTTGCAGTTCCATTATTTAGGAAGTGTTACCACATTGAGGAGAACCTGACACGGCAGACTACGTAAAGACGAAACCCCTCCATCTAGACAACGAGATGGCGCCTGAGATTGGAACGAGACCAAGCAGCTCCTGTGGGAATAGATTTTGGAGGTCACCAAGGTGGTCGCCGGGCAAGTGATTCAGGAGGTATCTCAGAAACTACGGGATGATGCATTGCAAGGCATCTGAGGAAGGGAAATTCGCGTCGGAAAATGGCGTGACAGTGCCTACGCTACCCATAACAACAAGCATCATAAGCAGGCATCGCAAGTCTGCCGACGTCGTCGATACGCATATGATTTTTTTCTGACGAGGTCACTGTAACTCAACGTCGCATGCTGAAAAAGACTGATTAGTTAGGTTTGCAAGATACTTTTAGGGCAAGAGATTGGAATAATGAGATCTTGGTAATACATATTCTCCTTCGAATTCGTTAGGCTATTGCCTCAAGTCACCTATTTCACCGTACCTATATCAGATGATCTAGACCACTCGTCTGACAGGATCGAAAGCAATAATACATTTATTCACCACTACTTTAGAGATCTGTACTCCTACGGCCGAGGGCACTGGCGGACGTGATCGCCAAATTCGTTCGCAACTGGAGGGAGAATGAGTGATGTGGGGACTAGAAAAGGACGAGAGCTTTGAATGACATTGGCGTGGCCGAGGCTCTTGAGAATATTCTGGGCCTAGAATATGTTTATAACGAGAATCTCGTCATAGCTAAAGGGTATGATCGTGGAGACCACACTGCTACTTGACATAATCATCTTACGATATCCGTGTCCCGTCTTGAAGCCGGCCTTTTAGAAAGAACTCCAGCGGGCCATTATGGGACCCGAAGACCGTTCGAGTAGTGATGTCCTTACCCCCACACCGAATGGAATACCAGTTTCCGCCCAAGTCTATTGGTCTGCTGAGGGTGGAAAGATGCCGCATTTTACCAAGACGTCAAAAACGGAAACTTGCCGAGCGGAGTTAACCGGATATCTATTTGTACATATTACTGATCAATCAAAGATAATGAAGGCTCTTGCAGACTGTTGTTGCACCGTCTTGCCCGAGTAACAAGGTGATGAGGTTGATGGTATTATAATGCTATAATCCTAAAATTTTTCCGCGACTTTTTTCTCTTATTCGAGTCCCCGGACATTTGGAAGGACCAAAAAATCCCGGAGCTTGCGGAGGGCTATTTTTTTCCGGACACTTGGGAGGGCCGTACTCGAATAAGAGAAAAAAGTCGCGGAAAAATTTTTCTTCGCAGAAAGCTGGTTATTTGGGAGTAGGGGGAAGTTCGTCATTTAATTATAGTGTTGAAGTAAGGAAAAAAGTCAGAATCCGTCCGAAGGACCGGATCTTAGGCATTGAACATTCTACCGGGTATATGATTGGTCAATAGGTATCCGCAATTATTTCTTTTGGTCAATGATTTATTTAATCTTTTGGTCAATAATTTCTGGCCAATCATAATAAGGCAAACTGCTGAGTAATTAATCACGTAAGCAAAGTTTGACCTAGTTTGAGCGTAGAATGTCCTTCGGACGGATTATGACGCACATGAATTACCCACAATTAAGGTAGGGTGGATGGGAACGAAATATTTTGCATTATTTCCTATCGAGGTGAAGGCCGAGAGGATTTCTATCACACCTGGTTTTACTACTTGACCCCTCGAATTCCAATAGTATCATAAGAAACATCAATAACTCAAGACGCTTACAAATCGGGCTTGACAACAAGAGCCACATCTAGATATTGAGGTCACTATGAAATATCCGAACATCTTAGGACCAGCCAAATGCCTCATTCAAATTGAATGCGTAGCACGCGTTACATCACGCCGTGAAGATAAGCGAACATCTAGGCAGCCTTGCCATGATAGGTATTTGTAAGGTTGGTGAAGAGTGGATAGCTGTTATTTCCGGAGGATCGCACCGGCAAGGTGATAATGAGGTCAGTTTGGGTTAGACCACTCTTTCAAGTATAGGCGAGGACCCATGCGGGCCTCGAATTCGTCCGTTTATCAGTAATTCTTTGGTCTCCAGTTCCTGTCTCTGCCAAATGAGTCAACGTGCAGGGTTAATTTGCTTTTGCAGCTTAACCGAGTGTTGTATGTCGGAATCGCGGTGTTGGACTACACATAGAATGCAGACGGAGAGATTAATAACTTATTGAATTGATTTCGACAGGCATCATGCTTTTGTAGACGAGACATTGGCTCTTGTCTATAGGGTGCTGGTAGAAACCATGGAGTCGCAAATTGATATAAAGTCGCAAATCCTCGTCGTGTTACCTGTATGTTCTGGCTGTGAATCATTCTGACGTACTATTCCACATCAGTAAAAACCATGGCCGAATACTCTCACGAACCTATCTTCGAGGCTGCCTGCCAAGCGGGGGATTTACCAGGTGTGGTCCTCGTTGCCGCCGATGCTACAGGCAAGTTCAAGTACACGAAAGCATTTGGCAAGACCGCCCATGGGGAGACGCTCGCTCTGGATAGCGTGATGTGGATAGCTTCGTGCACCAAACTCATGACATCTGTCGCTGCGCTACAGCAAGCCGAACGAGGGCACATTGGCCTAGACGAAGATGTCGGGAAAGTTCTCCCGGAGCTCAATGCGCTGAAAGTTCTTACCGGATTCGACAAGGAGGGAAAACCTCTGTATGAAGAAAGACAGGGAAAAATCACTCTCAGGTGAGTAGGTGGCTGCGATCTTCACACCCAAACCTGGAGTTGCTCATTTTTCTCTCACAAGACATCTTCTCACGCATGCCTCCGGGCTGACCATGCCACTGATGTCCCCTAAGCTCCAGCAGCTGGTGCGATACAGGGGTCCTCCTGCGACAACTCCAAGGACTGTCGTGGACGAGTTTTCCGAGCCCCTCGTTTTCCAGCCTGGGAAAGGTTGGGAGTATGGCACGGGCTTGGACTGGGCCGGTCAACTCGTTGAGCGGTTCTCTGGGCTTAAACTGGAAGAGTACATGCGCCAGAACATCTGGGTCCCGTTGAACATGAAGCACATAAGCTTTGCGCCTGCTTCCATCCCCGAGATAAAATCGCGTAAGATAGGAATGAGCCTCAAGGTCGAGGACGGGAAGCTGATCCCCACGACGGACGGCCTCCTCCACCAGTACGGGAGCCAGACGGATGATGTGTACGGAGGAGCAGCGGGCTGGGGCTCCGCAGAAAGCTATTTGAAACTCCTACAGACCCTATGCGCGAACGACGGCCGAGTTCTGAAAAAGGAAACGGTTGACGAGATGTTCCGACCCCAGCTAAGCGCCGTGTCTAAAGAGGCGCTTAACGGGCTGCTCCAGAGCAACGACCTGTTCCGGCGAGTGGCTGGCAACTCGTTCGACATGGACCACCAAGTGCTGGACTACGGGCTTGGCGGAGAGATCGGTACCAGAGACGAGGTTGGCAGGCGAAAGGCTGGGAAGTTGTCCTGGGGCGGCTTGCCCAACCTGATCTGGTGGATCGACAGGGAGAGCGGCCTCTGTGGTGCATTGTTCACAAACCTCGTACCGATGGGAGACGCGAAGATCTGCAAGCTGGCGGCGTCGTTTGAGTTGGCGGTCTATGAGCAGTACGAGAAGTTTAAAAGACAATAGCTTGGATAAGTAGGTGATTTGTGGAAATTTTGTATAATAGCCCTCCCTACTTTGTCGTGTATGAATTGATTCAGAATAAATTCAGTGGTTAAGTCGGTATTGATGACTTTTGCTATAATGAGAATACCAGGTAGGTATGTGGTGCTAAATTTGGTCAGAATAAACCACCAATAAGTACCTAGGTAATGTAAGATGTGAAGCAACATTTTTGTTGTTTGTTGAAGTTTGTAAATCACATTAATTGTATGCATTCAGGCAGTTATGCAATTCTGTTAAATGTATATACCTAAACTAGGTGATAGAAAAGAAAAATTAGGGAGGAACGATAATAGATGGGGATGAAGTCAAATCGAAAGCGTTGTTGTTTAATTAATGAGAAAATATGAGATGCGACTGATAAAACAGGTCTGGAAGAAGGCACTATTGTGCCTTCCGATGACTCGTCGTGAGATGGACATCAAAAAGCATCAAAATCGACAAAAAAAGGTGGTACAAGAGGAATTGAACCTCTCAGTAATGGACTCGCGGGGAATCGAACCCCGGACCACTCCCAGGCAAGTGCCACGATGCATCTTTCGGTGCTCAGGCTACGGTGCTAAGGGAGTATTATACCACTAAACCACAAGCCCGGTGATTGTGAAGAGGTGGCGGTATCGGTAGATTATAAAGGATACACGAGGAAGCAGCGATGGGTAAAAGCAATCGGCTAGGATGTTATTGGAGAATGGCCGGGACTTGTGGCGCTAAAGTGTGCTTAGAGGCCGGCCGCCTTTACTACCACTTGGATCTTACGCTTGGTTTAGGTATGGATTCCACAATGATGATATTGAAATCTTACTAGGCAGCTAGGTTTTTATTTGTTTACTTACTGAGGTAATCTATCTAAGTCTTCTTATGTTAGATTTTCTAGATGTATTGGAACCCATATTGATCTCAGATACTTAAATAGGTGATACGTAATTTGGGAGCAATATTATGCTAGGACATGTTTCATTATTGGTTGAGTTGATACCTTTATTTGACAATGGTCTTGGTCTATCTACAAGCTATGTTGTGGGATATGATAGATCTGATAATGAGTTTGGTCTTTTGTGAATGAGAATAAAGGCAATATGACTCGACTTGATCTGGGAAACGTATGAACCAACGCCTTAGTTGGCCTGCTCCAGATATCTGCATGCGACACAGAATCAATGTATACCTAACCCAGTAGTAGGAGCCTTGGCGATCCAACTAGGGCTCAATAAGAGCTCGAAGAATGTCCTGGGCAGCAATGGGTCTCCATCTATACCGATACGTACATACAATCACGATACATGCAGGAGTGGTGATGACTTGGTTGGACGTTGGGCTGCGATTTGGAAGAAAATTCTGCAAGTAGGTACCTACGGATGAATCAATGTCGTTGTTTTACTTAGATGCGGATTATGTTACTGTGAGCACTGAAGATTAATCTCTACCTTATGTAGGTAAATTATTCATTATATGAACTATGTAGCTGCCTTCAATAGTAGAAATCTGAATATCATCCTAGTTAAGGTCATGTGAACAATAACCTCCCATCTCATGTATTATTAACACGCCCCGAAAACAATAGAAAGATGGAAGTAAGCGCTGGATGTCTAACTATTTTGTATTTATAATATGCACAGCTTCTAAGGTTGAGATACTTCAAGTGGATACTTCGGTACCTGGAGAAATTCGATAGGGTTTTCAAGGTTGCCTGTCCTGGAGTGCAAGTTCCTCGTCGTTAGTGGCTACGGTGCCTGTTGTCTATTGCCCCGCCTAAGTACCTCTGTACTTGTACTGTACCTTGAGGCAATCCGCGGCTGCCACAGCAAGCACGCCGCCCCACACTGCAATCATTACGCAAAGGCAGTGGCCGATCAGCCGCGAACTTTCATACATCTAAAGCTAAACCTATTTTTTCCCCTTCCTTTCAACATATTCCAACTCTGCCTATTTTACATCTCATCGACGACTTAAGTCAAGTAGATAATCTGTCATCTCAAGCGGACGATCTTTACCTCTCCCCGCTTGTCGTCAATAACTTGGTACCCTTGTTGAACTTGGAAACTACGGTACAGCGGCCTGCACCCGCCTGCACCGACCAAACCCCAAGCTTCCAGCAGCCGTGCCGGAATTGTATCTACCTCACATCATCATCCACCCGCCCCTCACTCGTGCACCGTCCACCTAACTTAGACCAAACAAAACGTCTTGTATCTCTGCGACGCGTAGTACTCTTCCTCATCCGACATTATTATATTCCGATCTAATTGCGAAGTCATCGGATCCTGGCCGAAAACGAATCTCTTTTTGATACCCGCAAGGCTGACATCCGGAGACGAGGCTTAATCCGATACCTTCACCGATTCTACGGCAGTCGTTTTTTTTTCACCCCGCCTCGTGCATTGAGGAGTAGCTCGAGATACCATACGAAAGGAGCTGTCCAAGCTGTTTTGGGCGCTCCCACACGGCAAGTCAAATTGTCGTCACCGATTACCTGAACATTGGTAGTGGAGGGGGAGCTGACTTATTCTTTGCGGCTCTGCCGCCCTGGTCTTCAACATGGGAAAGATAGCGAAGACCATCCAACCTAAGCACAAGGAGACGTTGGTAAGTGCTCTTGCATGCCGTTTATATTTTTATGTGTAGCTCACTCACCTTTGTCTAGTCCCCTTGGCTGCAGGAATATATCGATAATGCGACATCCGTACCCTTACCTCTCTTGCCGAAGACTCTAACCAAATTCCCTTCACGATGGCCTTTCCCGAGAGGCGACCTGTATCACTGGATACCACTACTGAATCGATTCGATGAAGTCCTAGAATCATTCTGTTCCATTTACAAGTTAAATGAGGGCCCCCAGACCAGAGATTTTAGTTGCGAAGTCCTGCTCGGATCTGGCTCTACCGAAGACGTAGAGAAATCGAACGTGCCACACGACCTCCCGGGACTGGGCTACAGCAAGGATGGTGATGTTCAGCTGGTCGTGGCTATTCTAAAGTTTACTCAGATGCTCCTGGATCATTGTGGAAACCGCAGCATTTATGCTAGCAGTTCTCACTTGAACGACCTTCTGAATAGCACAGACTTCACCATCGTCTGTGCCACCTTACGAGTTGGAGTGGAACTAGCTCAACGTTACCAGGCTTCGGTAAAGCGCATTCATGGTATGACAACTCGACAGGTGCACACGACTCTGCTTTCGAACCACTATAACATCGACCTCGATCGTGTGCAGCAGCTTGCCCAGCCCTTTGTGAAAACACCCCTTTCGAAGTCTTCGGATTCTACGCTCCTTTCTACCCCTGCTTCTACTGGTAAGACTAAAGAGAAGGCCCATAGTGGAAGTTCCAAGAATGTGGCCACCATGTATGCGAACGACCTTTGCGCTTTGGCCAAGGTCGATTCCGTCGAGAACTCAGGCTCGCAAGCGCGTTGGAGTGGTTGGGGCGACGTGAAGCTTACCTATTATCCTATCTCGGATAATGCACAAGGACCGGCGCAACAATCTCTGCCTGATCGAGGTACAACCTCAAATATACCTCCAACGCCGACACCATTGAGGAGAAGTAGCACCTCGACTACCGCCCAATCGACTACTCCTCGTGGAGGCCGACAGGGAGCATCAGACGACAGCCCAGCCTCCGCCTCCCGCTCACCGGCATTAGGACGGGATGAAAGTAGCCCACCTGGACAGAAGTCTTTGGAGATATCTCATGCCGCAGTGTCCTCATCATCAGTCTATCAGCTTCTCGCTAGAGCTCCGGCGGATCTCCCGAAAGAGACTAAATACGAGTTTTTGAACCGTCTTAGGGTCGCTAAGGCACTTACTGGGTCGGTTGAGACCCGACAGCAGGCACTGAAGGCGCGCCTATTAGCAATTCAGAACCTAGCGTACATCCACATTGAACCTACCTTCATCGAGAAGGTTCTTAGGCAGGACAACGATGAGCCCCGTCGGTTCCAGCTCGTGTACCAGCTTGCAGAATTGATCCACCCGGCCGCTGATGGCGCCACCGTAGTACCTATCGATCTACAGTCGATTGCATTTTCATTATTGGAGGCTATCTCAGGTTTCCACCACAAGTTGCCCGACATATTCTCGGCGTTAAATGCGACTGTGAATCACGGTGTGTTGCTTTACGTCATTAGAAAGGCCGTTGCCGAGATGAAAAAGGACGACTCTGGGGAGCAATGGACTGAAGAGGACGAATGGCGTGACACCCTCTTCTCTCTTACGCTGCATATCACGATGGCTATGGCAAATAACACGTCACGTAATATGCCTGAGATTATCTCGGCCGGGTTGCTGGACATTATGGTTGAGATCCTTAACACTCGTTCCAACATAGCTGAACGCACGTACGGCACTTTGGTAGGATTCTTAGACAGTCTCGTTTACAACGTGCAGAGTTCCTTCCAGACATTGATAAATGCGGACGGTCTTGAGGCCATCACCAACCTAGTTACTCATGAAGTTGAACTCGCAGGGAAGCTCATCATAGAGGACAAGGGAACGCCCGCTACCCATCGTTCTCAAGTTGTTGATTACGAGATACCTTTCTATCAACAACAAAACCTCAAATTTCTCTTGAAGTTTATCCATCATTTAATGTCAAATGCCTTTGCTTTTGGTGGCAACACTGATCGACTATTGAGGAACCTCGTCGATAAATCTGCACTGCTTCGCAGTATTCGCGAGATTATTGAGAATATGACCAAGTTCGGCTCCTTAGTATGGACTAATGCAGTTATTATTTTGAGTGACTTTCTCAACAACGACCCTACTAGCTTTGCGGCCATATCTGAAGCTGGGCTTGTCCAGAGTTACCTACAAGCTTTGACAGGCCGCCCGGTGCCTACGGGACAACTAGGCGGATCGGACTCGACTCAAGGGGAGAACCGAGACGATAGCCCTGAATCGCCTTCGGATGGCCCTACACCTGATCTTCTTGAGCCTGATAATCGTTCGCATCCTCCGTCACAAGAGGAGTTAGAAAAGCCTCGCGAGGGACCGCTAGCCCGTGGTATTTTACCAAATTCGGAGCCTATCACGATCGTGCCGACCGTCCTGAATGCCATTTCCCTGAATAACCTCGGTATGAAGATGGTTGTCGCGTCACGTGCGTTTGATAGCTATTTTGAGATATTTGAGAGTCCCGAGCACGTCCGGGCGATGGCAACGGATGAGAATGTGGCCCAGAACGTGGGGGGCAATTTCGACGAGCTTGCTCGGCACCATCCTTCTCTAAGACCGGCTATTGCGAACGCTGTTTTAGATATGATTGCTCGAGTCACTCACCTTGCCCGGGCCAAGGCCAGAGATAATGCATGGGGAGCTAGTCTTTTTGTGAAGGACGCGAACGACCGATACTCACTTGCCGGTGAAGATATATCAAGTGAGCCTCGAATGGCCCCTTCTGATAAAGGCAAAGGCAAAGCTGTCGCCACCGCCGATGATGCTGATGTTGAAATGACGGATGCGAGCGCACATCAAGCGGGCGGTACGGAGTTGACGTCAGGCAGCTCCGCGATCGTTTCGTTCTCCATCACGCCTTATATCCATGCAATTTCCAACTTTTTGTCCCAATACATCAGCAATAACAACCTAAAGATGATC